AACAACATACCACAGTCTAAAAGCATCATTTTTAAATATAACAAGCACTTTATTGCAATTATTCATTTTGATAAAGTCTATCTTAGGCATTACCATTTCTAAAGGATCCCCAAATCATCACTTAGGTGAAATTTTAAAATGACCCATTTCTGAGAAATGTTTAGATCCAGTGAACCGTAGTAGGTTTATGGGAGTGATTTCAAGGTAGCCAAATGAACTTGACTTTTATTTTGAATGTGGTGGAGTTGAGATTGTTGATGCTAGTTCCATTTAGACACTATTGTAAACCTATCTTGCCTATTGTGTGAACACCAAAAGAGCCTGTTTATTTTCAGAAGTCTAGGAAAATTGCATCAGTGTGAATAAATGTATAGAACTAACCTAAAAGTGATTATTAGTAATATTTTAGAATACAGTCATTTCAAGAATTATTCTGGGTGTTTTCAATGTGCTCTGAAATGTTGGCATGTCATTTCAGCGTTCCCATTTGAATTGCTCTTGTAATATTTTTTGCACAAAAAGGACTGAGAAAAGGATTACTTTGGTTGAAGAAAAGAAAAATCTGTAATTTGGTCTTATTTTAATGACTTCTGTGGAAACACTGGGGATGAATTTTGTTGGTTTAGTTGTAATTCAGGATATTTAACAGTATTGAACAGCTCACAAGAAATTAAACAAAAGTGGATATTTAAAGATTAAAACACTTTCTTCCCATGTGACTGTTTTGCATATTTCCCCCACATGTCATAATTTAACACTACATTCCTTGTTTTTCTTAAATAAAATACTTTGCAGGTTGTTTTGAGTATTTAACATATTTTGTAAGCTGCCTGGGTTTTCCTAAGGAAATGACCTTTAAGAAATAGAATATAGTTTATGAAGAGATTAAGTGAAATTCCATCACCACCACCAGCAAACACTGAGGTGCTGTGTTAAGTGACAATCAAAATAGTGAGTATTTACGGAAGAATTTAGAAAGTGGTTTTAAAGAAGAAATTGCTTTGTAAGCAGTTCTCTGGGTTTCTTGAATAAAAATGGCTAAATGTATTTATTTATATTTTTAAATATCTTTGTGTTCTGTTTTCTATCAGTGATTTCAGTGTCATGTATTTAATTTGTGATTTGTTTTGTTTTGCCTTGTACTCTTTTACTAGAGAACTGGCTCTTCTAATGTGGGCACAGTCTCTAGCCCTCAGAGGACTCTACATGGGCATCCAAATCTGTTCTACTGCAGGACAGCAGTGGGAGGGCCCACATCCAGGTGCCTCTGCACTGCCCTCCTGTGCTCAACTTATTTAAGAGAAAAGTAAAGGTAACTCCTTTCACATTTGCTTCATATAGCTCCAACCTTTTTCTAGTTTTATGTCCTGCCTTTTCCATTTGGGGGACACTTTTTATATGATTACAGCCAAAGGCCAGTATGACAGAACCAATGGCACACATTGCCTGTTTTGCCCACTTGGGAAATGTTAGTAAAACGGTCAGCATCTTCAAATGGCCCCTACTATCATATCTATATGAAAATCCATTTAAAGTCTTTAATACAGATGGGAAAATGTATCCACACTGCAAACTCTTCCACAAAAAAATGTGTGCTGTCTACTAGTATAGTGTAATGTTGCTTGGTTCTTTAAAAACAGTAACAAAACCTCCATGCACAGCACTGCTCAGTAAAGCAGTGTTTGAACATTTGAGGCCTAGACATTTGAGGATACTTCTGGCTGGAATGCATTGGAACAGAATTCTCTAGGTTCCCACAGGTCAGGTACAGGGGATGCTGTCTAGCTTTTGGGATCCCTTAGAGAATGGTCATTAAAGCAAGTTGGATTTAATGATGTAAAATATGTTCCTTAACTCTGAGAGTTGAATTGAAGATGTGATGTTTTCAAATGTATGCTTTTAAATTTCTGAGGAAACAAACTGTGACATCGCTTTAAGAACAACATTCAAATGTTTTATAATATGTTTTTGAGTTGGCCTGTACTGGTACAAATTCACTGCTGGCAATGGTTGTGCCAGAACTGGTGTTAAAATGTAGGAAAAGCTGTATTATCTTCAAGTTGATGTATTATATAGCTAGACAATCATCATGAAGCAAAAAAAGAAATTGGCCAGGAAATGTCCTTTTACTTTCTCAATAGCTATGAACAGCAGCAACTTAGACCGTTCTAGAATAATTTTGAAAACTATCTTACTTTGGCGAAAGTTGGGGAAGGATTTCTGTACGGCACTTGCATATTTACTCTGTATAAAGATTGAAGCCCAAAGATGAGTTAAATTCAGTGCTGTATTGAAACCAGTTAGTGCAAAAAAGAGAAAGTTTTATCTTTGTAAATTTTTAATTGTTAACACCAGTTGGTAGCTGTAAAAGCATACACCAGATTATTTCTAATGTTCTGTGTGCTACATTGCTGTCCTTACTGCTTGGTTCTTGGTTTTAAATACAATTTAGATGTAGCCTAACATTCTTACTTCTGAAATGGTGGAGCTATAAATGGCTGATAATTGACATAGAATACCTCTTTTTCCTAAAGCAAACATTGAACTGAAATCCAAGTTGATTTATAAAAAACATGACTGACATTTTCCAAGTATTGTCTTTAGCTCAAATCCTAAATTGCACAGAAGCAGGAAGGGACAATGAATGGTTTCAACGGTGCTTTTAGTTCTCTGCTGATTTTCATGAGCTATCTGTGGAAATACAATATTGTATAAAATGTGGATCATTCTGTCACCCATTCAACATTGCCATTTTAATTTGGTGTTAAAATTGTTTACACTTGTTTTTCAAAGCTATCCTTTCAGAGGTAAAAATGTGTTACTAGTCTACCTTCACTCAGGCCTCTCGCTATCTGATCATTTTTCCAGGTTATGATGTGCATTTTTTAAAACTACATGTACTATTATAATGCTCTTTCTCATACTCTTGTAATGTATTCAGAACCTAAAATTACAGCAAAAGAGCCAAGCAGTAGCATTGTTGTTGGGTTTTTTTTAATGTAAAAAAAATAGGTCCAGACTTTGTTTCCGTATTCAATCTTAAAAATAAAAAAATACCTCAGTACTGTTTTCAGTATCACCTGCATTTCTCAAAAAATAACACCTGCTTTATGTGGCACTTAACTTGTAAAAATTACATTATTTTGGATTTTAAAGAGAATAGTATTAAATATTTTAAAATCACTATCAATGAAATTTTTCTTTTATTCAGCAATGGAGTCTACCTACATTAATGATTTCTACCTTGCAGCTTAGATCTGAGCTACCAAATTCAGTAATGTCCTGTTACAAGATTGTGGTGCCTCAGAAAGCCATGCTGTTATTCACGTGTTAAGTTAATCCTGAGACTAGGCTGCCTGCATTGCCAAGTTTGGGCCATGATGTACAAGCTGCTTTCTAACAAGGGATTATCTTTCTGTTCTTGGAAAAGATCATAATTCCTCACTTGTTTTGTTTGTATCTACTGCAGAGAATGATAGTGCAGTCTGGGGACTTAACCTGAAATTCCTTTATAGTACTTTAGCCTAATTAGCGGACATTATTTTCTACCTTTGTAAAGAGTTACTCTAAAGTTTCAACACGTAACTTTTTTGTCAGTGTGTGCTACTGCTACTTTTTGGCTGACAGCTACTTTTAGCTCTTCCCAGTAAGGGTTAGCTGTCTTTCCCACAAAGTTACTAGTGCAGAATGGTGGCTGCATTGACACTGCGACTGCTGGGTGATTACATTATATGCAAGATTAGATTCTTTCTAAATCTCTAAAAGTTACAAATGTACTCTCTACTGTGGACTTTTGTAGTAGCTCAGTCACACAAGGAACATGTGGGAGTTTCTCTAGAACTGTCCTTTGGGTTTAAAGAGGCAATTAATGGCAATGTTATTGCATATCTATACTAATAAAAGGGCAATATGCTAATTAGGGCAGATGTCTTCGGACCACCATCCGGACAAAGCTACAGCGGCTGCCTGAGACTCAGGCAACCCGTGGATGGCAGCTGCCACTGCCCAGGGCCGGCCTGAGGCTCAGGCAGCCGCATGTGTGGCTGCAAAACCCTAGGCTCAGGCAGCCATGGTGGCTGCCAATGGCAGTAGCAGCAGCAGTGGGTGATGGGGGCGCTGCCTTCCCCTGATCTGCCAGGTTGCCTCCTGCAAAAGGAGAACAGACTGTGGCTTAGGCTGGGGGCTGAGGCAGAGGCAGTTAGGGGCAGTCAGGCTGGCAGGGTGACAGTTAGGGGCAGTCAGGCCAGCAGGCAGGCAAGTGGTTAGGAGCCAGAAGTCCCAGATTGTGAGAGGGGTGCAGGTCCCAGGATTGGGCCTAACAGACATCCCCTGAGGTGTCCCAGATTGGAGAGGGTGCAGGCTGGGCTGAGGGGGACCCTGATCCCCCCCTCCCCCCGCAACCCCAGTGCACGAATTTTGTGCACCAGGCCTCTAATGGTAATATAACGTCAGGCTGGGAGAAAGCAGTTATGCTGCTTGGATGGAATAGAGTTAGTAGTCAAGTTAAAAAATACTTATATGACAGTGAGGGAGCCATGATTAAGAGCTCTAGAGTTAAACTGATTTGACTTTCTAGTCTATTATGTTACCTTGAGTGAACTCCTTTTTTTAACCTTAAATTAGTACCTACCATCTCACAGAACTATGTGAGGGTTACGTAAGTGCTTTATTTTTTTTTAATATATTTTATTGATTTTTTACAGAGAGTAAGGGAGAGGGATAGAGAATTAGAAACATCGATCAGCTGCCTCCTGCACACTGCCCACTGGGGATGTGTCCGCAACCAAGGTACATGCCCTTGACCGGAATCAAACCTGGGACCCTTGAGTCTGCAGCCCGACGCTCTATCCAGTGAGCCAAACTGGTTAGGGCTAAGTAAGTGCTTTAGAACCATGCATGGCCTGTTATTTTGTATCAACTTTAGAAACTAATCTATAATTCCTAATACTACTTTGATAAACTAAAAAGTTATAAACTTGTATAACAAAAGGGAAAACAAGCACTGGTCGTACCACTTTTATTTACATTGTATCTGTTACACTGCTTATTCAATATAGAAAAAATACGAATACACTCATTGTATTCTCCTTTAATTTGGTAATTCCACATTGTCAAATATTGACTCTCTTATATTGGGTTTCCCACCCAATTTTTTAAAAAGTAAGAATGGCCTGGCAAACAATTCTTGTCATATTATTGATATAACAATACAGCTGTCCTTTGGTATTGAGGGGGTACCAGGACCCCTCCCCTCAACCCAAGGACACTCAAGTCTTTTATACAAAATGGTGGAGTATTTTCATGTAACCTACTCATATTTACTTATAATCATAATACCTCATACAATATAAAGGTTATGTAAATGATATATTCAAGGAATAATGACAGGAAAAGTCTGTACATATTCAGTACAGACACAACCATTCATTGTAGGCCTAACAACAGAATATACATCAGCAACAGTGTAACATTTTTTCAAGTATTTTTGATCAGTGGTTGAATTACTGGATATGGAACTTGTGGAAGAGTTGACTAACTAGTACACTTTTTATTTCTTCTTTAAACAACCTAATTTTGGAAAGACTTAGGATTAAATGGCTGCTTACTGGCATGAAGGAAAAATTCTAAGATAAACATCTTAAAGCACCTCAGTGATTCAGGGAAAAAAAAAGGTATGTGTTCCTTATAAACTAGTCAGTGCTGAAAAAGAAACTCAAATGGTAGACCCCACTGCACAATGGTTCTGTATATACTGCCCCCCACACCAAAAGCAAAAAAGGTCTTTAAAACAAAGACCATATCAACATGATTATCCTGGAGAAGAGAAAAATCCACATTAGATGTCAGGTTTCTTTTAAAAATCCATGTTGCAAATAGAATCAATGATTATTTCTTTTGGACATCATAACTCATTGCTACAAAATACAGTATTTTCCATCACTTTAGTTTCAATGTACACTATGTACATAAACACAAAGAGTTACATGAATAAAGAGCTTCTTAAAAACCAGAATCAGGACTTATAAATAGTGCAGAAAACGCGAACGCCAAAAATACGATGCCTCCTATGATTGTCACTGCAAGAGAAGAGAAAAAAGTTAAATAATGCAAAATTCCTGAGGAAGCCAAGATGGTGCCCATTATTTTTCCAGTCAAGTATATTAACCTTAAAAACAAATTAGAAAGCTTAGACCAGTGGTTCCCAACCTTTTTTTGGCCATACCCCATCTAAGCATCTCTAAAATCCTGATGCCCCTTGTGATATATAATTCTTATTATTCAAAAAGTGAACTCCTATTCACATGGAGGAAGCCTAAAGGCCATTAACTTAATCTAAACAAGGTTCCAAAGAACATGGCATCCATGAAAGAGAAAAATAAAATAATGAAAAGACATCTGAAGTACTGAGGAAGAAATCGCTAAGAAATTGTAAAAAAAAAATTGAAGTGTTATGAAAAAATAGCAAATAAAATTTCAAAACATAATAGAGAACTGAAAAGCATAAATATGTCACTATATTGTATATACTGTATATGAGGCCCCTAGGACTGTAAAAAATGCAAAAAATTCAGTTAATAACTCATTCTTGAGTTGCCCCCCTTAAAAGTCAAATTGCCCCCCTGTGGGCTGTGTGCACCACATTGGGAACCACGGCTTAGACCCCATTTCCACAGCAAAGAAACACTTAACATGCCTGACTTTGAACAGTAAGAATGAGTGTCTCCTCCAGCACTGCTTTGAGAAATGAAGCAATTGTATTGACAAGCAAAGTAGATTTCATCTTAAAACCCAGTTATAAAAGAGCATATCCAACAACTTCTGACTAGCAAAGAGCCATCTTTCGGGCCTACCAGGTACGTATGAAAATTTCAACAGAATCAGTAAATACAGTCTTTACCTATGGTTCCCAATCTTGTTAAGACATATTTTTAGGACCAAAAGTTCTCATATTTCCACATGATGACTGTTTTACTGCAAATTAATCTTAACAAAAAGCTACCATGAATCCAGTAATGCTTATGGATGAATTTGTATTTTACATCTACACATGTGAAAAACAGACCATGTTTGCAAAAGTAGGGGCAACACAATGGACCTCTTGAGAGATTTTTATTACAAAGACCAAGTCTACTCCAGAAGTAAAATCATTTAAATAATTAAAATAATCTGCCCCTTTCTTTTCTGAGCTCTCTCAGTGATTCCAAGAATTAAGACATGGCATTTTCTTTGTAACTAAAAGAAAAACAAAACGTACCAGTTCTGACAGAGATTTTTTGTGCTATCATTCTTCCTCCAATTACAGCCAATCCAGTGCATAAGCAGTGTCCCACTGTCCCTCCCACAGCTACACCATAGGGGTCCTGGAAACAAAGCAACATTAATTTAAAACCAGGGTTGAAACTGCTACCTGAGAAAACAAGCACTGAAATGGAGGTCAAAACAACTCGAAAAAGCACAAAACCATTCTAAAAATTAAGATGTAGATTTATGAAACATGTAATAATAGCTGCTTGAAGGAATACGTTTTAGTTATACTAGGATTAGAGATGAAAGGAAAAGTGTAAAATCAAAATCCTAACTCAATTTTTCAGCTGTTGCTAAACTTAATTCACAGGCATTAGTTAGCTCAATGTTAGGGCGACTTCTCTTCCCGAAGGCAACATCTGTTTGTGAGGAAACTTGGTAACCTTTACAGTATAGTCTGACTATGCTTCCTCAGAACAGAGACCCTGCGCCCTATTCTCCACTGTGTCCTCAGGCACGGCACCCAAGTGTCTCAGTGACAGTTCTGTGGATAAATAATACCAATGTGATTAAAAAAGTAGGGGAAGCAATGGAGAAGGGGTTTATGGATGACAACAGGATTTAAAGTACAGAGTGTCGCCCTGGCTGGTTTGGCTCAGTGGATAGAGCGTCAACCTGCGGACTCAAGGGTCCCAGGTTCAATTCCGGTCAAGGGCATGTACCTTGGTTGCGGGCACATCCCCAGTAGGGGCTGTGCAGGAGGCGGCTGGTCGATGTTTCTCTCTCATCGATGTTTCTGACTGACTATCCCTCTCCCTCTCTGTGAAAAATCAATAAAATATATTTAAAAAATAAAAAAAAGTGGAGAGTGTCAAGGGTCAGTTAAGTTCAGTGGTAAATAAGCTATGGGATTGAATATAAAAACGCTGGGAGAGAATGTTGGCAACACAGTGATGAGGAAAGCAAGACCGAAGGGATGACAGAGGAAGAGGCACTCAAAGGAGACTGAAAAAGATGGCCAGGTAAATAGTCTCCCAAGATGAGCAAAGTGGGACCTGTCGAGTGCTACAATGAACTCCAAGCACTATATCACCATTACCGGTGAGGCCAGAAACTAGAGTTCATTGGGTTTTGTAAGTAAGGAAGTAGTACCAAACCCTGTTTCCATCAGTCAAGTGCTTTGAGACTAAGGGGAAGAGAGGAAGAAGGTGGTATCTGGAAGAGAAGTAGAACTGAGGAAGGGGGAAAACAATTTTAGATGAGAAACATCTGCAGGCTAAAATGTTCAAAAATTCGGGTGGGAGAAAGGCAAAGACTTAAACTTTTAAGTGGGGATGTGAGGGCTAGAATCCCAGGAGGTAAGGGACTGCCAGGAAATGGGTGGGAATGAAGTAGAATGATTTCTGCTTCTAAGTGGCAGGTGAGGCTGCTGAGGAATAGACAGTGTATGTGCAGAAACTAATGAAATGGAGACGGTTTGAAACACCTGAGACCAGGAGAGTGGGACTGCATTTCCCAAAGTGTGTAGTGCAACTTCTAAAACTGGTAAGCCAGAAGATGCTTTCATTCTATTTGAAAGTGATATTTGGCCCAACTGGTATGGCTCAGTGGTTGAGCGTCAACCTATGAACCAGAAATTCCCATCCCAGTTCAATTCCCAGTTAGGGCACATGCTCAGGTTGTGGGCTCAATCCCGTGTGGGGCGTGCAGAAGGCAGCTGATCAATGATACTCATCATTGATGTCTCTCCCTCTCCCATACTCTCTGAAATCAATAAAAATATATTTTTTAAATTATATTTGAAAAATCACTGGATTAAATTAAATAGTTCCTTTAACAAAGGACTTTTCGGTATTTGTTATTTTCTATACTCAATCTTCAAAACAAAAAACCAGGATGTATTACTGCCAAATTCAGTTGACCCTGGAACCTTCTCATTTTTTTTTTCTTTTTTGCTTAGTACCCATTAACATGTCAAAGGACACTAGGATTCTGTGGAATCCAATGTGGGAACACTAAATTATGTTGGAAGCAGAAATGATGTTCAGACTAAAATGGACTCAACTAGAATGCATAGTTTATACAAAAAATTACCAAAAAAAAATGTTAAGGGAATAAAAACATATATCCTCATGTTGCTGGTCGTGTGGAAGGTGGCTAATACTGAGTGCTCATTGTGGTGGGGACCCTACATGCATTATATTGTTTCACAGAACCCACAAAATAGGTCACAGGAGGTGCTGTGGAAATGGGATCACATAGCAAGAGACTCAAACCCAGTCAGCATGTGCCGCTAGACCAGCCGTGGGCAAACTTCGGCCCGAGGTCCGGATCCGGCCCGTTTGAAATGAATAAAGCTAAAAAAAAAAAGACCATACCCTTTTATGTAATGATGTTTACTTTGAATTTATATTAGTTCACACAAACACTCCATCCATGCTGTTGTTCCGGCCCTCCGGTCCAGTTGAAGAACCCATTGTGGCCCTCGAGTCAAAAAGTTTGCCCACCCCTGCGCTAGACCAAGGTAACTCATACAGACGGAATCCTGAGCCTTTCACAAGCCACTGTGCCACTCAGATGATAGTATTAAGAAAAAGGCAATGATTCTGTCCTCCTGATAGCCCACCCACAAGACTGCCGCCTCCACAACAAAGTGGTCACTCACTTTCAAGTCCCAGTTCTGTGATCTGAAAGCCAATAAAAGAGGCTGGAGATCAAGAAAATGATAGGGCAAAGCCAATAAAGTGGCATTTTAAAAGAAAGTTTGTTTTAAAATATAGGAATTAAATAAAAAGCCAAATTCTATTTTTTTTTCTTCCAAAATACAGCATTTTTGAAGCTCCTCTGACAAAAGGGCCCTGCCCCAACTATCGCAGTCCGGGCCTTCAACTCCTGTATCTTAACTGAAGTCTTTGTTAAGGAAGTTGTTCTTTGATAATATTTCCTAGGAGTGAAAAACATCGTAATCAATCTAGTTATCAAAATTCTACCATCAGATAAAAATAATGTAATTTAGCTCTGCCGGCGTGACTCAGTGTCTGAGCGCCGACCCATGTAACCAAGAGGTTGCCCATTTGATTCCATCACAGCACATGCCTGGGTTGCGGGCTTGATTCCCCAGAGGGAGCCATGCAGGAGGCAGTTGATTCATGTTTTTCTCTCATTGATGTTTCTCTCTCTCATCCCTCTCCCTCTCTAAAAATCAATGAAAATACTAAAAAAGAAACATTTTTTAAACACAAAAATCCCAGAAGACAATGCAATTTATCAGATAAACAATATTAGTGAAGATCAAGAAAAGCCTGAAAAGTAGCACATTCTGAAAATTCCACAACCTTCTCAGCTAATACCAATAAATCTGAATATTAATAGACTTCATGTAAAACTTTACTATTATCCTCAAAAGAAAGATTAAACATTTTTAAAAAACAGGTATCTTTTAAGTAAGTAGCTTTTGATAACTACTAGTATGAACAAGATATAGAAAAGGCTAGCAGACAGACCTGCCTTGGCTCTAGTCCCTGACCCTGCTACCCACTAGTGCATGTTCTCTGACAACTCACCCATCTCTGGGCTTCAGGTGGTTCATCAATAGAGCAAAGGCTAGAAACATGATCTGAGGTCTTTTAGGGCTTATCATCCTAGGACTAAAACTTAAATTTTCTATGTCATCTTTCCAACACTCTACTTATTTAGCACAAGGAACGGAAGAACTCAAAGATACCCACTTTTATGGTTTTAGGTATTTAATGCCAAACTGACCTTCAAAAATTATATCAATTTATATTCTCAGCTACTATACAAAGGAAAGTTCTGAGAGAAGAAAGCCAAGCCAAGCCAACTGTCACAGCATCATTCTGGCAAAACTGAAGAGTATTCAGCAAGATGAATCAAAAGAGAGCAATTAAGTTTACACACAAGAATACCATCTCACTGACTGTAGAAACTGGGAGAAGATCAGTTTTAACCCTTTTCGGTCCAACCTCGAGGCTGACTCGACAGACCAGGCGCTAGGAGCAGGTCCAACGTTGAGCAATAAGAACATTAAAAAGTTCAACATTCAATCCCGTCAATTAATTTGGACCAGACTGTTTGAATTCCAAAAATAACAATGGACCGCAAAGGGTTAAAGAGCAGCCAGATTACTAGCTACAATACTCTCTGGCACAGTGGTCGGCAAGTTGCAGCTCGCGAGCCACATGTGGCTCTTTGGACCCCTGGGTGTGGCTCTTCCACAAAATACCGGCTCTTCTGCGCATGGGCACGAAGTTTCAATCGCACTGTAGGTGCGGGACCAAACGTGGTGTTTTGTGGAGAGCTGCGCTAGGGGGGCCGGAGGGCCGCGGTTTGCCGACCACGGCTCTAGCATATGAAAAAACCTGACTCTGTCCAGGGTCCACCGGAGCAAAGTAACATTAGTTATGCTCACTTACCTCTCTAGCTGCCAAAACAATGGTAGTTAGTTGAGAGCGATCGCCCCACTCTGCTAAGAATGTTAACGTAAGTGCTTGTACAAAGATGGGTGAAATAAAATGCAGCCACTTTTTCTGAGGTATCGTGCTTGTACCAGTTTCAACATCTCCTGGTCCATTTAAGAGTTTGGTTCGTTGAAACTAAATTAAAAAAAAACACACAAAAACCATTGAACTGAACAAAATTAATCTTTCTTTAAAAAGTGTTTAAATTCTATGGATTATTCTCCAAGAAACTAAAGTTATGTGACCCCAAACTTAATTTTTGAATCACTGTCTCACACAGTGACAATACCACATTCTCAATGCGTGCATTCCTCTCCAACAAAACTAATCAAACAGTACTTACTCATCCTTTGCTAACCTAGGTACTGTGGGAAAAGGCAGTTTCTGCTTTCAGAAGTGTGTAATTAATCTAATGGACCTGATTTCACATGTTTAGTATTCAGCCCCACCTCCTCTTTTTACCACATTCACACTAAGCCAGAGTCTCATCACACCCAGGTGTAAGAATGAAAACTAAGCAAAATAAGCTATTTTTGTGTATCCTACTAGTACACATCACACAGCTATGGATGACCACCGAAAAACCTCTGGACAGTGTTTATTCTTAGTTGAGTGCCTTTTTGGTCCAGATATTTAACAGTGCTATGACTTACTTCTTCATCTTTTTTCTTTAATTCTGCTTGAACTTCTTCCAGTTCCTCTTGACCTTCATCTGGACTCATCTTTAAGCCTTCCCGGAGCATTCGAATGCCAAAAATGGCAAATAATGCGGTTGAAACATAGTAGGTATACACCCTGGGGATGACTGTGGTGGCATAGCCAAACAAAACTGGAAGAAAATGCCACGGTATATCGCGTTAATTAGCAAGTATCACAACCTTCAGAAACCATAATTTACTACTGTTTTAAAAGAACAGTGGTTTGCATTAGAAACTAATCTAATGCGTAATAACCTTAAATAATTCCAATTCTTTCCCTTCACCAATATTGAACCTGAGGTCTAGCCAATGACCCAAGATAGCTTATCAAGAAATCAGTTTTCCTTGCCCAGCCAGTGTAAGTATCAACCTATGAATCAGGGGGTCAGGGTTCAATTCCCAGTCAGGGCACATGCCTGGGGTTGTAGGCTCAATCCCCAGTAGGGGGCATACAGGAAAAGGATGATCAATGATTCATCATTATGTTTCTATCTCTCCCTCCCCTTTCCTCTCTGAAATCAATAAAATATATTTTTAAAAAAAGAAAAAAAGAATCTGTTCCAACTGAAGATGGCACATGTTCCACAGAACTCCTCTCTAGACATTTTTAGTACTTTAGGTAGAAGGTAAACTTTGTTGTCCTCTAAGGATCCTGAAATCTTATAACCTGGAAGCTACACCAAGTTCCCATGGAAGTGGTATTTCTTCATCTCAAATCTTTAAATTATAAATTCTATAGTGAAAAACTGTAACAAGATTTTCATATGGTGTGATTTAAACTCTGCTCCTTTGTAACTATTTAAAATAAATCTTATGAAAGAAAATGAATTCCTTATACATTATATTAAAATAACATTTACAATAAACTCAAACTTATTCAGTAACATTTTTTTCCATTGTTAAGAGGACAATTATGTAAGTTATACAAAAAACTATACTTGGACCTACATCAACAACCCAAATACTGCCCTGGCCGGGTAGCACAGTTGGTTGGAGAGTTGTCCCAATGTCCCAGGATTGCAGGTTTGATTCCCAATCATGGCACATGCAGGAGTCAACCAATGAATGCATACATGGGTGTAACAGCAAGTTGATGTGTCTCCACCCCCACCGCCCGCCGCTTCTCCCTTCTCTTCCTCTCTAAATATAATTACTCTTCCTTTATAAAATGGGTGAACACTTACAAATCTGCCTGAACATCAAGTATACAACTACATAAGTGAACTAGTCCCTATTTCATTGTATTACAAAATTGAAAAAAAATTTTAAAACATGCTTAGAAGTGTACCAAACCTATGCTGATGTGCACATCTATATTTGAACTATATTTGTGTAAGTACACACACACACAAATGGACATATATTTTCTAGCTCTGTCCAATAAAAGGCCAAGAAGCCAAGACATCTTAATAACAGCCATTTTTCACCCAAATCTTGTGGGGGGTTTTTTTAACCTCTCCTATTATGTGGCATCTCATCCCTGGGTTTGCATTCTGTGTAGCTCTGCTTCATCTCCACCTTGATAAACGCTGACTTTGGGGATGTAACTAAAGTCATAAACATACTGGAGTGTCTGAGAAAGGGAATGAGTTAGGCCCACTCTAGTCACAGACCTTACAAAACACCTGTGGCAGCCAGCACCTGGGGGTGCCAGAACACGTCTGGCTGCTGTGGCTTCCCATGGCTGGTGGGGAGCAGGAGGAGCGGTTTGCTTGATGCGGGCCATGGGGATGCCTTGTCTTTTGAGAATCAAAACCAATGATAAAATAGACAAATAAAGGTCAACCTCCTTTTTATCACCATCATACACAGGCAAATTTGGACAATGTCAGTGACAAGCTCCTCTCTCTTGGGGCAGGCGACCTGTCCTCACTGCTGGAGATACCTTAAGATCTCACTAGAGCTGGAGTCAGCAGACATGGGCTAGGTCCTAGCCCTGCTGTCAGGGCCTGCTACCCCCAGATCTTGGTTTCTAATACCATTCCCCACTAAAAGGCTCCTCAGAGAAGTGGCTAATTCCAACACTGGGCAGAGAAGATACATGATTAGTCTGCACTATCGTGTTATAAAGAAAGTAAGAAGAGCAAAAACAAACAATGGGAGCATGTCAGAAGGACACAGGAGCCAGCCTGGAGGGCCCCAGCTGCCAAATCTGGGACAACTTAAGCAACAATATAGTGAAGTAATTATAAACCACTGGAAAAAGAAATTCGTGAGTTTATACTAGAAAGACAAACCAATGGGAGAGGAGGAAGAGCTCTTTGTAAAGTAGTATGCAGGGCTCATTGGGAGTGCGGTGGGGTACTGGAGTTAGCCCATTTTGCAAGCATCAAGGGAATATTTAAATCGTAAGGAGTCATCAACTGATACTAAACTGAGGGTAATAGGGTATTTGCACTGTCTTAAAATGTCTCCCTAAAGATTGCATATTAGTTGCAAAGGAAGAAAAAAAGAAATCTTAACTGAGTGTATAAAACTAACATCATAACGAGGGCCAAATAAGATGCTCTTACAGGGTCAAACCTCAGCTATGTAGAGTTCTAGTCAAGAATGCATAATGTCTTATTGGTGTTTTGGGTTTCTTAGGATATATTCCTAGAAATTGGATCACTGTGTCAAATGGGAGTTCTATTTTTAATTTTTTGAGGAAACTCCATACTGTTTTCCATAGTGGCTGCCCCAGTCTGCATTCCCATCAGCAGTGTACTAGGGTTCCCTTTTCTCCACATACTCAATAGCACATGTCATTTGTTGATGGTAGCCATTCTGACAGGTTTGAGGTGATACCTCATTGTCAATTTAATTTGCATCTCTCTGATTATTAATGACTTTTAGCACTTTTTTCATATGACTCTTGGCCATCAGAAAGAATATATGCACCCCTATGTTCAAAGCAGCACAATTTACAATAGCCAAGATCTGGAAAGAGCCCAAGTGCCAAGAGTAGATGAGTGGATAAAAAAGCTGTGGTGCCGGCTGGCATGGCTCAGTGGTTGAGTGTCAACCTATGAACCAGGAGGTCCTGGTTAGATTTACGGTCAGGGCACATACCGAGGTTATGGGCTGTCCCCAGAGTCTCTCATCATTGATGTTTCTATCTCTCTCCCTCTCCCTTCCTTTCTGAAATAAATCAATCAATCAATCTATCTATCTATCTATCTATATCCTACATAATAGAGAAACATGCAAATTAACCATCCCTCTGCTACACTCAAGCCTCGCCCACCAGCCAGTCGGGAGCAAGTATGCAAATTAACCCAACTAAAATGGTGGCGGACACAGAGCTGGAGTGAGCAGGAGGCTTGGGCTGCCTGCGGTGATGGAGGAAGCTAAGCTTCCTGACTTCCCTGGCTGGCCCTCAGCTCCAGTCAAGGCTACAAAAGTTTCAATTATAGAAGATAAAAAAATCCCAGAAAAAAAGGAGAGGCTTGCAGCTTGGGTTGCTGGGGGGCGTGGCCAGCCTTAAAACAGCCATCAGCCCCTCACCCAGGCTGGCCAGGCACCCCAGCGGGACTTTCCCACCCCCCTGCACACCCTGATGGGGCTGTAGCCAGCCTGAAAACAGCCATCAGCACCTCACCCAGGCTGGCCAGGCATCCCAGCGGGACCCCCACCCTGATCTGGGACACCCTTCAGGGCAAACCAGCCAGCCCCCACCTGTGCACCAAGCCTCTATCCTATATAATAAAAGGGTAATATGCAAATTGACCCTAACAGTAGAACAACTGGGAATGACTGGTCACTATGACACACACTGACCACCATGGGGCAGATGCTCAATGCAGGAGCTTCCCCCGGTGGTCAGTGCACTCCCACAAGGGGAGCTCTGCTCAGCCACAGCCAGGCTGATGGCTGCCAGGCTGCCAGCTGCCAAGCTGACGGCTGCCAGTACAGCAGTGGTGGTGGGAGCCTCTCTTGCCTCCTCAGCAGCACTAAGGATGTCCGACTGCAGCTTAGGCCTGCTCCCCGCTGGCAAGTGGACATCCCCTGAGGGCTCCCAGGCTTCCAGAGGGACGTCTGATTGCCAGCTTAGGCCCAATCCCCCGGGGAGCGGGCCTAAGCCAGCAGGTGTTCATCCCCTGAGGGATCCCAGACTGTGAGAGGGCACAGGCCAGGCTGAGGGACCACCTCTCCCTCCAGTGTACAAATTTTTGTGCACCGGGCCTCTAGTATACGTATACACATACACATACACACACACACACACACACACACACACACACAGTATAAACTAGTATATAAAAGCTGTATGTGGTACATTTACACCATGGTATACTATGCAGCTGTAAACAGGAATCTCTTATCCTTTGAGATAGCATGGAAGGGCCTGGAAAGTATTGTGTTAAGTGAAATAAGCCAGTCAGACAAAGACAAGTATCACATGATCTCACTCATATGTGGAATCTAATTAACAAAATATACTGATAAAATAGATCCAGAGACATAGAAGCATGGAACAGACTGATAAATCTCAGAGGGAAGGGGGGGAGGGGGGGAGGTGGGAAGAGATTAACTGGGGAACTTATATGCATATATGCTTAGCCCAAGGACTCAGACAATAATGTGATGAAGGCCTGAGGTGGGGTGAAGGGGGTTAATGGGAGAAAAAAAGGGGGGGGGGGACATGATACTTTCAACAATAAAGATAAACTCAAAGAAAAAAAATGAATCTCAATCTAATCATGAGGAAATATCAAACACAAAATGAGTAACAGTCCACTAGAGGGGCTCTATTCTTTTAAAAATGTAAATAGTCTAAAACACAAGAAAAGGCTATGTAAACATTTCAGATTAAAATACTAAAAGATCCTGCTATAGAGAATATTAGGTCAATTAACAAAATATGGGTGATAGATTAAAGTAATGTATCAATCTGTGTATAATGATACATATTAAATTGTGTATAAAGCCCTGGCTGAGTAGCTCAGCTGGTTAGAGCATTGTCCCAGTACTCCAAGGTTGAGGGTTTGACTCTGTCAGGACACATACAAGAATCAACCAATGAATGCTAAATAAGTGGAATAATTAATTGATGCTTCGATCCCCTTCCTCTTTTTCTCCTCCCTCCTCTAAAAGTCAATAAATAAAAAATTTTTAAAATGTATATATATATTATACATCTGTAAGATATATAAGTTGTATATACATGTACACATATATCTATATATACATTGTGTGTGTACATAATTTTATTTAGATTTAGATAAATGGATAGATAGGTCACAAATGCTAACACAAATGGGGTAAAATGTTAACAGGTGAATCTGGATAAGAGGCATATAAGTATTTTTTGTAACTTCATAAACTTAAAAGATTTCCCATAAAGAGGTCTTAGTATTTTTTAATGAAATGTAGCAAACCTTTTTAAATGTGTTGAAAACTTAGTTTTCCTTTTATCTTCAGGTAATATTTAAGAAACAACAACCTGCGTTACTACTTACCCTTAAAAATCCTATCTTTGGGATGACTTGACATCTCCGCAAAACACCTGGTATCCTAGCTGTGATGTTCTTCCCTACTTACTGTCCCTCTTTCTTTGGGAACCTTTCCTCTGATGCTCAAGCACTTTTTCTCTGGAAACAATGAGAGGTTATTCTCTTCATCAAGTCAGAAGAGAGCTACAAATGTATGGCCCTTCTACATCTTGGCAATGTATTTGAAGTGAAGATACAGATTTGGGAATCATTAACTTATATCAGAATTGATTCTAAACCTTGCACCACACTAGCAATAAGTTGTCATGGACATCTAATCTAATTTTATTATTAATTTTTTTGTGGGCAGGGGATCACAGGAGTCAGCACATCTGGAGTGCAATGGATAAATCTCACCCTGGGAAAACCACCTTCGTAATCATGGTATCTCCCCTGCCAGGTCAGAATATATAAACTAATTTTTAAAATAATAGTTCTATTGCCCTGGCCAGGTGGCTCAGTTAGTTGGAGCATTGTCCAATACATTAAAAAGTTGCTGCAGGCTCAATTCTCAGTCACTGCACATACCTGGATTGTGGATTCAATCCCCAGTCAGAACATGCAGGAGGCAACAGATAAATGTTTCTCTCTCTCCTCCTCCTTCTTCTCTCTCTAAAATTAATAAAAATGTGTCCTCAGGTGATAATTAGAAAAAAATAATAGCAACTATAACTCCAATCATATAAACTGTTAACATTTAGAGACCTAAAGAAAATTTTCAGCATCTTTTAAAATACATTTTATATATATTTTTTGCTCCAAAATAAATACGACAGTGTGATCCAAAAAAGATTTTCAAGTAAAAACTTGTACTAATTGTTAAAGTTCTATGACAAAAGTAAATGAAAATAATAGAAAAGATCAATGTAAATTTCTAAATGTTAAAGAGTTTATTCATGCTTTTTTAAAGGAATGATGGTGATAGTGGCTATCAGATTGCTAATGGCATTTAGAGTCCACTGGGTATGTTTTAAAACAGGGGTGGGGAATACCCAGCCCACTGGCCATAAAAGGCCCTCAAAATCATTTGGTCTGGCCCTTCCAAGGCATTAGGGTGAGTTAAATGTTTGACCAAATATAGCAGGCTAATTCTGTTTAAATGTTTATTTTTGAAAGTATTGCATATGTCCCTAGCAGGCTAATTTTTAAGTTGATAATTTTGTATGGCCCACGAATGATGTTATAAATATCCAATGGCCCTTGGCAGAAAAAAGGTTCCCCACCCGTTTTAAAAGAATGCCATACAGTTTTTGTACACTATACCAGAAATTAGATCTCTGCAACTTCTTAAGCTTAATATGACAAGTCTTAGATCACTTCAATGTGACAGGAGGTACGTACTTTTGCAAAATTATTTTAGATACACGAGGAAAAGATTTGAAGACGACAAATAAAACCTATCCTTTCAATAAAACAGGTGAGAAGAGCTGTCAGACACCACCAGCAGGTAGAGCAGCAGTTCTCAACCTGTGGGTCGTGACCCTTTTGGCAGTCAAACAACCCTTTCACAGGGGTCGCCTAAGTCTTAGGCCCTAAGACCATCCTGCATATCAGATATTTACATTACGATTCATAACAGTAGCAACATTACAGTTATGAAGTAGCAACAAAAATAATTTTATGGTTGGGTCACAACATGAGGAATTGTATTTAAAGGGCCAGAAGGTTGAGAACCACTGAGCTAGAGGGAGGTGGGTCAAGGGTCAGGACAGGAGAGAGTAACCCCACTTAGAGCTGAAAAAATGGATATGAACACAAAGACGTCAGGGGATTGATGGAGCCAGCTTCTGGTGAGGGAATGGGCAGAGAGGACAGCCTTCTAGTTATCTCGAAGCTCAAAGTTTCAAAAATAAAATTCTCTAATTTACTGAAACTCATTCCAAACAAATAACTTTACCATTTACAACTCTCCCCACTTTTCCCATTTCCTATCAAAACTTACTTTTGAAGAGAAAACTGTTTTTATTGTGAAATATGAATAACACTAATGCTAATTTCTAAAATATGAAAAGTAGTCAAATTAATTTAATCATTAAAATACTCGTATGTTTTGAAAGACGTAAACTACTACAAGCATCTAAGCAGCCAGAAATAAAAACTGCTGAGGGAAGAACAGGGGTGAATGACTGAGCACTGTGACCCTATAAGGCAGGTAGATATTATTCCCATTTTACAAATGGGGAACCTGAAACTCAAAGAGGTGAAGTAACTTATCATTACACGAATACACGGCACAGTCCGAGTCTGGCCCAAGCCTGACTCTAAGGAGGAAGCTTACTATTTTCTACCCAACTACGTGGCTCAAGGTTGCTTCTGAATCAGAGATTAAATTATGTTTAATTACTGAATGGTAAATTTACTTTCTCATGGTCTAATTCTTTGAAAAGCAAGCCTATGTATTAGCAGCACAAACTAGGAACTAAGAATGTTTCACTCCTTTACTATAATGGGTAACAACAGCTTAATAGAACACAATAAACCAAGAGTTTTTCCACAGTTATTGATATCTAATGTCCTTCAACAGAAGAATATGCAATTCTCTGTGGCTGCTTGAGTTCTACTTGTAAGATATTAGACATAAATAAGCTTATCTAGACTGAAAAGGAAAAAAAAGCAAGAATACACAGCAAAAGTAAGGATTCTAATCCAGTGAATAAATGAGGAGTATGTATCTTTATTGAACAGCTGAACATTTAATTTTAAATGCAGTATAGTTTTCAGGAATTTAGGTACTAAAACCATTTTCTTTTTACAAAACTCTGGAACATGAACCAAATTCCATGATTAATTGAATGATTCAGTGACTCAATATCAAACACCATGCTGTTGCTTAAAACCAATAAACTTATTAGGAGGAAAAGCACACTTACCTGATAAGCACGTCATCAAGCCCAAGGCAAGCATAGCACCAGCCAACACTGTCAAACGGTTATAGCGCATTGCCATAATGGCTGCTATAAAAAATGTCTTATCACCCAGTTCAGATACAATGATAACTGATATGGCAGCAACAAATGCATGGATAAACCCCAAATTAGTTTGGGTATCTGTATCTTCTTTATTGGTATGAACTGGGACAGCTGGTGTGAGTCCTTTCTGAAATAAAAAAATATATATACATCAGCTATTTTTTTAAAGAAGTCATTACTTACAATTCTTTTATTTTGTATGTGAATTAAGATGTTTTTTACTGTCACGGTCATTAGACTTATTTACTGTGTAATCACTTTGAAAGCCATCAGTTACACAGAACCCTCTAATTGATGACTGCTACAATGCAGATCCAAGTACAATTCTACAAAACAATTTTTAAATAATTGTAGACCAACTATATCCACACATAAAAATTACCTCATTTTCTCAGAATTTGTGAGCCAAGATTAAGTTCTTAGCTTTTTATTTGTAACTGGTGTGAAAGACCAGGGTATGCTTATCAAATATCCAAATAACAGGAAGCTGAGATAAATTTCATTAACACTTTAGAGGACAGAGTAAGATTCAGAAAGCTCTCAATAGGCTGGAGCAAGAGTTGACTGTAGCTAAGATGAGGACTAATATAGCTGGATATTATCGATGGTCCTACACTAACAGCTAAAAATATCCTAAGAGATAATATGGCCTGATAAAAAGACAAACCAGTGCTTTGGTTGATATTCAAGTTGAAAATGTGACAAAGCTCCAAAAGGGCAACAAGCACTTTAAGCACTTTAAAGCAGCGGTCGCCAACTGGTGGTCCATGAGGTCTGAAAGGTTGGCGACCGCTGCTTTAAAGAGTTAGTGACATGTCCATCATTCTACAATGCTCATTCTTTACCAATGGTTCTCAACCTTCCTAATGCCGCGACCCTTTAATACAGTTCCTCATGTTGTGGTGACCCCATCCACAAAATTATTTTCGTTGCTACTTCATAACTGTAATTTTGCTACTGTTATGAATCGTAATGTAAATATCTGATATGCTATATTTGTTTTCCGATGGTCGCAACCCACAGGTTGAGAATCGCTGCTTTACCCAAAGTTGTGCACTGGTTCTGAGGCACCACATTTTTTTTTTTAAATATATTTTATTGATTTTTACAGAGAGGAAGGGAGAGAAGTAGAGAGTTAGAAACTTCGATGAGAGAGAAACATCAATCAGCTGCCTCCTGCACACTCCCCACTGGGGATGTGCCCGCAACCAAGGTACATGCCCTTGACCGGAATCGAACCTGGGACCCTTGAGTCCACAGACTGACACTCCATCCACTGAGCCAAACCTGCCAGGGCTACACCACATTTTTAATATTTTATTTTTTATTAATGTTATTGGTTAATTCATACTAGGACCAGTTCTGAGGCACCACATTTAAAAAAAATCCTAAAATTTATATGGAACCACAGAAGTCCCCAAATAGTCAAAGGAATCTTGAGAAAGAACAAAGTAGGGATCATGCTCCTTGATATCAAACTATATAATAAAGCTACAATAATCAAAACAGTATAGTATTGGCATAATCTCACACACACACACACACACACACACACACACATCAATGGCATCAACTAGAAATAAATCCTCACTTATAGTCATCCTATAACAAGGGAGAAAATAATATACAATGGTATAAAGACAGTCTCTTTAATAAGTGGTGCGGGGAAAACTGGATACAAGCAAAAAAATTAATCAAAGATATGATTCATGCATGCACATGCACAGACACGGGCATATTGTGAAATCTTGTCGATGTGACAACATGGATGGGCCTTGAGGATATTATGCTAAATGAAATGTCAGACAAATACTGTATGGTTTCACTTACTTATGGAATCTAAAACAAAACAAAACAGAAAATAGACCTATAGATTGAGAACAAGCTGGTGGTTACAAAGGGAGAAGAGAATAAGATTATATCTATATATTATCTATCTATCTACCACCTATCTATAGAAAGAAACCAATTCCTTGTAGGCTCTAAGTCTTCAGATAGATACAACCAGAAAGCGCTCTGCAAATATGCATTCACTACCCAGAAGTATAGAGTTAACAATTGCGGGGCAATCTCTGACTGATGAGGGAAGCTGGTTCTGAGGTTCATTCTATAAGGCTCCTTCACAGACTCAGCAGAATTCAGTACTAGTCACTCATGCAAAGGCTAGCTTGAAAATGCAGTGGAGTACATGCATTTACCTCCTTCCCTGGACTGACAATGTGAAAGAATACTGGCATGTTCCGAGAATAGGAAGCAAACCATCAGATGAATGATTGGGTAGCAAGATAAAATAGGGCCCAGACTGAAAATCCTGTATGGTTATGGCCCAGCTTAGAGGCAAGCAAGAAGCCTTTAGAAGTTTTTGAGTAGAAGACACAAACATGATTAAAGCACTGTGACTTATACTACTGTACATCAGGGCTAAAAAAGAATACCAGCCACCAGACAATTAATTAGGAAGTCAGCTGCTCAAAACCAATGTTAATAATAGGGAAGGAAAAAAATTCTGTACATTGTGGAAAGAAAGTGAACAGAACTTTAAAAAGAGGGGAGAATCAAAGATGATGGTTAAGGTTTTCTATCTGGTTGACTAAGAGAAATACTAGTATTCCTACAAGATATGTGGAAAAGAGGAATAAAAATAAGGGATTTGGTTTCAGGCACATTCAATTTGAGGTGATAAAAAAGCATTTCAAATGAAGGTTTCCAAGAAGTCATACAAATGGGACCCCTGATTTTAGCCTCAGAGCATGTATCTGGGAGCCTAAATTTATCAGTTAGAGCTTTGCAAGTAGACGAAATTCCCATAGGAGAAGGACTAGAGATTAAGTTGAAAAGCCTTAGGGAATGTCTATATTTAGGGAAAAGGGGGTGGGAGAAGAGAAAGAAAACAAAACTGTCTTAGATATTTAGAAAGCCAAGCAAGAGAACACCACAGATGGTCAAGATAGAAACAAACACCATTCACTGAGCTACTTACTAATTAGATGCCAGGTATTTTCATATACATTGTTCAAATACTCAAAACCTTAAGAACTGTCATCCCAACTTAACACAAGAGGAGTAACAGAGGACCAATAATGTTAAATAATTTTTCCCACGTCCATACAGCAAAGATGGGGTCCAACTCTTCAAAAAGTAGAGAGGTAACAGTGTCAAAATGAGAACTGAAAAAGAGCCCTGCGTTTAGCAATTAGGTAAGGTAAAGTTATACTTCAAAAATGAAATTTCAATAAAAAGACAGGGGCCCAGCCCTAGCTGGGTGGCTCAGTTGTGGAGCACTGTCCCATACAACAAAAGGTTGCAGGTTCGATTCCTGGTCAGGGCACATACCCAGGTTGCAGGTTTGATCCCCAGTTGGGGCACGTATGGGAGGCAACAGATCAATATTTCTCTCTCACATGGATTTTTTTTCTCTCTGTCCCTGGCCCCTCCCCGTCTAAAATCAGTAAAAACATATCCTCAGGTGAGGACTAAAAAAGGGAATAATAAAAAGACAGGGGGTCAAGCCAGACAATGGAAGACTAAAGCAAAGTAAAAAAGGAACTAATTTCCTAGATAGAAATTCGGTTGATAAAACTGAATAGAAACTACAGGCATACCTCAGAGATACTGTGGGTTCAGTTCCAGACTACCACAATAAAGCAACCTCACAATAAAGCAAGTCGTAATCTTTCTGCTGGTGGAGGGTCTTGCCTGGAATTTGTAAAGAACGGAACACCTGTGAAGCGCAGCAAAGTGAAGCGCAATGAACCGAGGTATGCTTATAATGCAGTCAAAATGAGTTAAATCAATGGCCTTCTTTCTTTCCCCAAGTAGGAAAGAACCTATGGGCATGTGTATGCAGACAGGAACCAATAGAAAGAATAAAGATATTGAGGAAAAAAAGTACTGGAGGTCAGAGAAAAGGTATGGGAAGGATGATAGTTCTGTCCAGTCTAAAGGCAGAAGGTATGGGCAGAGAAGCAAATACTTAGATATGTACAAGAGAGTCAGATGCGGTGACTATTATTTCAATTCTGATACTCCCCTCTTCGATTATAGTGTAATGAAATAGTAATGAAATACAGTATTTTCCTTAGTACAAATACCACTGTTCCCTTTTATTTTGGGTCTGAAATCCAAAACATTTACATCTTGAAAGCAGGGTCAACAAATTATAATTAGAAATTAACTTGCTTTACTCAAAGTTAAAATTAGTTCCAAATTGGAGAACTGTAAAAAGAAAAAAGTATGCTCATTTAGAAAGTATTCTTTTCTACTTTCATGATCTTCAAGGAAAAAAAATAAGTCAATAATGAAAAAATAATTCCTTCTAGAGTTCAAATGAACATAACTACTGAAACATAACAGGATACCTACATCAGAATCTTCAGCTACACAAAATACTAGGGAAGATGAAGATACTTTCTTGGACAAAAGACTGATATCCCTGCAAAAAAAACCACAAAGTACTCAACAAAAGTTACCACACAAGAAGTTAGATTATTTAAAGATAAGAGTCAGAAGGAAATGCTTAGAATTGCCTTAAAACTGTCTCCTAGCCATTACTTTATTATAAGAAGCCAGAAAACCTTTTTCAGAAGTTGGAAAGTGTGCACAAAAATATACACTCAACTTCAACTATGACACCATGGATAAACCTAGTTTTTAAAAATTGCACTATAATAAAAGATTATATTTTATTATAAATTTTCACTATCGGTCCGGCTGGCATGGCTCAGTGGTTTAGTGTCGATCTATGAACCAGGAGGTCAGGTTCGATTTCCAGTCAGGGCGCATGAGGGTTGCAGGCTCAATCCCCAGGAGGGGGCAGGCAGGAGGTAGCCAATCAATGAATCTCTCTCATATTGATGTTTCTATCTTTCTCTCTCTCTCCCTTCCTCCTCTTTGAAATCAATAAAAATATATTTCAAAAAAATAAATTTTCACTATCGTTCCTTTTCATGAATGGTGTAGTCTGTTTTTTAAAATATTTTACTTTTTATTGTTACTTGTTAATTCATACTAGAATAATACACATTTAACAAATACATATTTATTTTAATGAATGTTTTAACAACTTTATTTTTATGAATGTTGTTTTTAATGGATTAATAAATTTGGACATTTGAATGTATTAAGTGTTTCACTGATTTTAATGAATTGCTTTGATGGTAGAACACCAGGCAATGAATTTGGCAACATAATGTTCACTTCATTCTGACACAGCAATCCTGAGCAAGAAAAGCTTCTCACATCTCCTGGCCTCAATCTTAGCTATAAAGAGGCTAGAACTGGGAGACTGGACTGCAGGAAGCAGAACTGTTAACTTAATGAAAATGAAAAAAAAGTTCAAATATTGTGTGGAAGGCCTTCTCACAGTTAAAAGATAATAAATAAAAGAAATGCCAAGAAACAGTAAATATCAAGAATTTGTACTGGGTCAGATAATAGGCTTTATCAACAGTGCTACTTAACCAGAACAGTTCTTGGGATTTCTAGAATATGCAGCAGATTACAAATTACCTTTATTAAATCTATCTAACGTCCCTCAACTAAAAGGACTTAATGCTTCTTATATTACACACTTAACTTAGGGAAGGAATAAAAAAACTGAGTAAGTCACTAGAAGCATTAACTGCATAAATGAATACGAATGATCAACAGTACTTCTTTTCATGAGTTTGTATACTGGGGTTAAATTGTCAAGTTCAAAGCGAACTCCCCCAACTTTTATCTGATCATAGAGAAAAAAAAAATACCCAAAGTAGAAAGCTGTTAGAAATTCAGTTATCTTGCTTCAAAGCACCCTGTAAGATATAACTACATTTTAATACATCTTTCACTTGAATGATGACCAGTACAGGAGAGATTTCTCCCCCTCCATTTTCAGAAATCCACTGTCAGTGGCATGAAAAGGGTAAGTTTAAATAGCCAACCTTTAAAAAATGTCTTCTAACATGCTGTAGTAAGTAGAGAAAATAGTTGAGCCTATCAAAAAATTACATGAAAATATAATTAGAACAATTGGATTCTACTATGATATAGAAATTAGAATATATTCCTATCAAAAATGTCAAGAATGTATCAAAATATTAAAGACAAAAATCATATATTGTGCCTGCCCCTTGCCTCCACATCCAATTTCAAAGACAAGGATCCTTAAGGCCACTTAAATATGCTCACTAGATACTGATGACTTTATTTTATAAGACTAGATTTTTCACCCAAGTTGCCTAAAGGGTATTATTTTTGTGTCTCAAAAGTCGTTGTATGACTAAAACTGTAATGAAAGGCCTAGAAAATTACATTCAAAATACCTCTCTCACTCACAAAGTTATTACTTAGCCCAAAATAATTACTGTTTGAGAAAAAAAAAAAAGGAACTTCCAATGAGTTAAATGACAGGAGGCTAAATGATAAATTCTATGAATAAATGTCATGAATCAGCATTTCAGAGCTGGAAATGGCAAACAGGGTCAACTACGTCCAGGAGCGAGGAGCCAGAGAGAAACCCCTTTGAAGTAGGGAAGCCCTCCCAAAGGGGAGGTATCTGCTGGTTCTTGGAAGGTGGGCAGGTTCCGACCAGTGGGCTTCCAGCCCACCCCAGCCTTTTCCGGGAGACCCTTTGTTGGAGAGCCTTGCCACCGAGCACATGGCACGGTCTCCGGTTCGAGTGGAGCACGTGGGCACGGGAGCGGTGACTGGAGAGCCTGGAGCCCGATCCTGCAGAAACCTGAACATCCTGCTGGAGAGGCTGGCCTGCCATCAGCAGGCAGGGGCCACTCAGGGAACATTTCCGAGAAGTACAACTGAGCTCAAAGTTTAGGAAGATTCGCCGGGTGGCGACCGGCCCGGTATCGCCTCGGGTGGAAGGGGTGGAGGTGAGGGTGGGGGGCTGGAGTCCCAGTCGCAGGACAGAAGACCTGAATTCAGGCATTCAAAAGGGAAGTGAGGAGACAGCCCGGGACTGGTCTAGGCAGGAAATGCTGAATTTGAATACAAGCGACTCGGTGGTTCCAGTGACATCCACTCAGACACTCACGGATCCCTCCTTAGGGGAGAGGCCACGGGGCGCTCCGGCGCACGGACACGTCGAGCAATGACCCCCTCGCCGCCGCAGCCCTCGGGCTACCGCCCAACACCGACCATCCCACTGCGAGCCTAAGGGCTGCTTCCCGCAGGCAGGAGCACGTTCTTAAAAAGTGAGAGTCACGCTCCAAAAACCCAGGTACGTACATTTGTCAAAAGACAAGACAAAAAACGCAAGTCCAGCAAAGCTGAATTGGGGCCAACAGCTCGGGATAAGCTGCTCCAACAATGCAAAACCCGGCGTTCTTTTGCCCTGGGAATACCGAAAAGCCTCCCGGCCGCCCTCGGGGCTCAACTTCCCGCTCGGGACGAGTGTTCCCCTCGCATCTGGCCGACCAGACCCCGTTCCTCAGCAGCATCCCCGGCCCCCGAGCCACGGGA